ATAGAATAGAATGGGACAGGATAGAATAGAATGGGACAGGATAGAGTAGAATGGGACAGGATAGAGTAGAATGGGACAGGATGGAATAGAATGGGGCAGGATAGAGTGGAATGGGGCAGGATAGAGGGGAATGGGACAAGATAGAGTAGAAGTAGAATAGGATAGAATAGAGTAGAACAGAATTAGAGTAGGATAAGATAGAACAGAATAAAAGAGAATTAGCATAGGATAGAACAGAATGGAACTAGTATAGGATGGGATAGGATAGAATAGAACAGAATTCGACCCCCTCAGGGTCCTGCACCCAACAGATTGGTCCATCCATCTGCCTCTCACTGTGGTGAAGCTCAGGGCTCTTCTCTCCCCACCGTCTGCATGCTTTCTGCCCACCCTCTGGACTACAGCAGTGGTACCAAGAGATGGGAGGAACCGTGCTGGTCCACATCTAAACTGCATCCAGCCAGGCTGCAAGCAAGAGCCTGACTTGCTCCAAATTTTGTCCTCCTGCAGCAGAGTGCTCTGGTTTTCAGGCTCAGGCAATATTTTAGCAAGAGTCTGAAGGCTGGGATTGTGGGCAGGGGTTGAACCTGGTGTGAAAGTAGAGAGTGACTTCCACAGAGCAGGGATCCCCCGTCCCTGGAGGTGCTCAGGGCCAGGTTGGATGGGGCTCTTCTCCATCCTCTCCTCCATTTCCTCTTGTGGTTTCCCACCGGTTGGCATCCAGACCTCATCCAAAAGTGCCATCTCACGAGGAGTGGGGAATTATTGCCCCACAGATCAGGAAAGCCCAGCTCTGGCTGAGTCGTCCTCCCTCCCCCTTTGTTCTTTATTTCGTGGAATAAATCCACCTGCTCTCCTACCTCCTGGCAGTGGAACCTGTGGGAGGTTTCTCTGGAAGGGGCATCGTTCCATGTTTGTGACAAGCTGTGACTGAGCTGGACCACGGGGTTGCAGCCCCTTCTTCCCATTTCAGCCCCTGGAGCAGACAGAAGGAAGACAAATAGGAATTGTTGGATATGGAAAAGGGGGGAAAAAAAAAAACAAGAAAAAAACCAAAACAACACTGAACAATCAGGAGATTGATGGCTTTTTTTTTTTTGCTTTTTTTTTTTTTTTTGGCCAAGGAAAACACAGTGGGAAGTCATCTGCTCGCAATGGCCGTAGGCTGGAGAACAAAGCCTGGATTGATTGTCTTTCCCCATAGCACACAGAGAATCGCTGGCACCTGCCAGGATGAGTCACTGGGAGGGGAAGGCCGTCCGTGTGGCTCTGCCATCCACCTCTTCTGTGCTGGAAGTTGGTGGAGATGCCTCTGAGCCCAGCTCTGCTGGAACCCTCCCAGTGCCGCCATCTCCCAGGGGCCGTGAGCAACTTCCTTCCTTCCTTCCTTCCTTCCTTCCTTCCTTCCTTCCTTCCTTCCTTCCTTCCTTCCTTCCTTCCTTCCTTCCTTCCTTCCTTCCTTCCTTCCTTCCTTCCTTCCTTCCT